GGATTCGAACCAGTAACCTCTTTGCTTTGAGGCGACAGCACTGACCACTGAACCTACATGCAGCCTCTGCATTATACAGCATGTTAAGAAGAAAAAAGGTTCCATGTTGGTGCAAATAGTGGTACGATAAATCTGTGTTCGGCCCATTTCGGCTGATCAAGGCACCCAATTTATAGCATTTAGAGACCATACAATGACTGCTTCATTCTTCTTGGATCACAAGATCTAACCCTTCTTAAAGTAAAGAACATATTAGACACACACACGGAAAGTGCATGCCAGGAGCCTGAATCATTGTTTCTCATAGAGCAAACCCTATAACTAACAGAGCGAGAAGGTCATACATGCAGCTGAAGCATGAAAAATACTAAAAGCTACATTACTTTACAACCATATACTGCACTCAGGGAGCCTCGTCTCCAACACCTGAGTGGACATTCATAATCAATTTTGTGAAAAGCTTGGAGAGTGGGGATGAATGAGAAGGGAATGCACTTACTGCCTGACAGATGATGGGGTATTTGATTCGATTGATGCCGCCGGCAAACACAGCAAAGGTCAGAGCCGTGTGGAAGCAGAAGTTGAGGAGCATATGCCATCCTTTCCGACTGATCCGGATCGCACTGCGGAAAAAAAACAACAACAAGATTTAAAGAATTAGCAGGGACAAACCAAACAGTGATGTATGAAAATGTCAAGATCAAGGTACATCGCCCATCACTCACATAATTTTTTATATAAACAGGACTTTTACACGGCCTGTAGGGATTGCCCTTTTGTGCCATATAGATTAACAACCAGGGGACTGCGGCTCGTAGAGTTTGAGTAGAGCCAACAAGCCTTAACATGTGCTGAACGGAACATTTTAAAGTCCACAAAACATTTTACCCATGGCCCACTCTTTTAAATGTTTGAAAGCTGAGTCAACATGATCCTATCAATCAAATAAAAAAAGATAAAAAAAATAATATTTAGGGCATATTTTTAAAGCTACATTTCAATCCTGTGAAATACCATAAATGTGTTTGTGTTGTAAATACATTGAATTGTATAAAACCATTTCACCAAGCTTTGTTAAAGAGAACGTTTGTTCTTTTGTCTTTGTCTGACAGAAACTTGATCATTACAAGAGAAACAGCCAAAAAAAAACGTACAGCGTCCGCAAACACCAAACATTACTCACTTTAACTAACTTACTATATTAGAACAATAGTACCTCTTTATAGCTTAGGAAAGCTACACAGACACTACCAGGAGGTCTCTCCATCAATACTAGAAGAATAAAAGATGAAGTAGAGGCTAGCAAGGAATCATGGGAGTTTTCTCAGCTACTCCCCCTCCCCCCCCTGTCAACTGTGTTGACCGCAGTCAAGACGAACAGGTGAAACCGACCTGGGGAAGAGAAATATGTTTACAGACGATGTATCCGAGTATAATTTACTTGACATTCTTAAACAGCAGCACATACATCAACAGTATGGCAGCTTTCAGAAGCAGCTCATGCTTCCTTATGTAGCGGAAATTGATGCAACATACTATGTTTCCACGACAACAATAAACATTTTGTCTTGAATGGCGGACTATCATGGCGGCCGCCTCGACAAGACACGTCCTGTTACAATGAACGCCTGTACTATGAAGAGAGTTCAACATACCCTGGGTGTCTTTTGGTTACCTGGCTTAATTAACTACATTGAACTTTCAGAAGATATTGTTTACAGATATTAACTTTAAAATCTTCAGAAATGAGAGAAAGTGATAGAATTCATTCTTAAGTATAGGGTTTAAAGACACGGAAAAGGTCAAAGACTGTTAACAGGGAAAAATATTTTTGCTAAAGAGGCTAAGAATAATTGAAACCCTCAGTCGACTGAAGTGTAACACTTCCAACAAACTGTAAAAATGTAATTTAGATTGATGGACCTGCAGGCTCAGAGTTACTACTGATTCTTGGAGAGCACTCAGTGTGTCCTACACATCCCTACACACACTCTTTCACACACTCTCACTCACCCGTACAGTACATGCAGGGCTATATGAACCAAAATAGGGATCGCTCTGCTGGTTTGATGATGAAATAAAAAGAGATTGTTTTCAGTTGGCTGCACCAATTGAAGTTCTCACAATGTAAAAACTATGCACTCATCTCCATTATGGAGTGCATATGATGAGCGGGGGTGGGGGGGGAGTTCACAGCCGTGGGCAGGGCACTTAACCCACATCACTGTCTTCATCCAGCTGTTAGAATCTCGGCTAAATAGGTCAGACAATACTAACATATTAACAGACCTTGTTCAACTGCTTTCCAGCGTCAGCTTGCTGCTTTTCATCGATACAGTCACTGTCACCATTTGGAATTATATAACCCAGAGCTGGAAATCTCCACTCCCCAAAATGGAGGAGCGGAGCCCCAGCTGCACGTGAGCCAACTGTAGATGAAGCGGTGGCTCAGCAGTGAGCTGTGAGGCGTGTCTGGGGCCGGGCTCCACCGCTCTGTGTGTGTGTGTGTGTGTGTGTGTGTGTGTGTGTGTGTGTGTGTGTGTGTGTGTGGAGGGGGAGTTAAAGCTGCTGCTGTGGATACCTCCATTGCAGCCTGAGTGCTGAACTCCATCCAGCAAAGAGGCCATAAATCAGGCCGGCTCCTGGCCTCCCTGGAAGGGGGTTTTCATAGGCTCAGCTTTGGGCTTTCATTGGGTCAAGTACATTAACCTGGCAACCACCCCCCCACATCCCCACCTCCCTGAGGGTGGGAGGGGGAAACAACTGTCCCCTCATCTGCTCTCTCCACACTGCACCCACCTCTGAGCCTATGGGACAATAAAGCCATGGACAGTATAATATGACACATTATACAATGGCTAGTTTCATAGGTGGAGGACACATTCCAAACACCTCAGTGGGTCTCATAAACCACAGGAAGCAGAGCTGTTACAGAGAAATATAGAAGAGGTTTCATGCTTATTATGACGGAGGAAATGAAGCAACAATACTATGCTGTATTATTAAATATCCAAAAAACAAGCCAAAGTCATATATTGATGTGTGAAATAATGTTTGATTTGTTTGTTTGTGTTTTGCACATTTGAATACAAATGTACAGATCTGGTATAAATGGGCTAGTTGGACTAAGCCCTCTCTTTCTAATGCATAAAGATGAGAACATTATTCTAATCTGTCTGTTTTTGACTTTAAATGTAGCATCACTGCTATCTCTGGCATGATCATGGCTGGAGTTTTGTAATAATGTTCAAATAAACCTGTATACTGCACATTTGACATAGACAGACATATAACTTGTGTTCAATAACACCTAGCAACCCTTTAACCATAGGGGAATTTACATACTAGATTATAAAGGTCTCCACTCTAAAGGGACATATCTGTCACTTAAGCTGCTAGTTTCTGCGCCACTTTCGCAAGCTAGCAAAAAAAAACTATGTCAGTCTGACGCAAGCAGCAACCTCAGGTGTTGAAAATGAAGCCAATGCCAATGTGCATAAAAAACTACATTTCCTTGAATGTCTATTTGGAAATATCTGTAATGTCAATTTTTAAAGTAGAAACAAACATGTCTTTATCAGTTCACTCTGTATGGGGTTATTTTTTTCATAACTCCTCTGGTTTGATTTTGTTTAGAGTTAAATGTAAATATGGATAATTGAGGTCATTGTGAATTTGACTGCTTCGCAGCTGTTTTCCAGGAGGCTCAATGCCCGCCCAAGCTCCACCTGTTAGCCTGTTTCCAGACTGATTGGAAGATATGTGGAGAAAGCATTTCCAACATGGTGACTGTCATTGGTCTTATACCGGCTGTTCAGAAACCAAAGGGTGACGTCACTGCAGCTACGTCCATATTTCTTACAGTCTATGGTGTGAAGTGGTGAGCAGAGGGTAATGTTTACTTGTTTGCTTTGTGTCTGCTCCAGCTGATAGTGACACTGAGCTGTGAGTCTGATCCAAAACAGAAAAGTAGTAAGATGTAAGATACTGAGCTAGAGCTCAGCTGAGGCAAACTCAGTGTGGTGATAATCGTCTCTTATATTTTCCCTACGAGTGCCTTCAGAGCCCCTTTAAGTATCTTGTTTTATTGCTGAAATATATGATTTTGTAAAACAACATGAGGCAGCAGCATAGTATTGTTGTTATGATTCAATTAAAACTAAGATTAACGCTCAGCTCTACAAGTTATCACTGTCTTGTTTTTCAAGACAAAATTTTTCACCTAAATGATACATACATGCTGATAATGCAACACATAGACTAGGTTCTGTTTCCTTCCCTCTTTGTACAGGTTTATGCACGACATGTGGGGATAGTTTCCCCCATTTGTATGGGATCAATGAGAAGACAATTGTGAATTTACAAGATTCCCAGCATGCCTTGGTGTAAACAGAAGCCAGTCAGTCAGCAGTGGGCTAACTCTAATCCTGTAATTATAAGCCGATACAGTATGCCCTAAGAGTTTAATAAGTAACAAGAAAAGTTGTCCTGTATTTCTTGCTATTATGTTCCTTGACTGTTATGGTCCCATAGAAAGTTCATTTCACTACACAGAAAAACGAAGTATTTCAATATGACAACTATCACTAGTATTTTAAAAGCTTTTTAAGGCCCTGTTAATGTTGTAAATGGACTTGTGCTTGTATAGTGCTTTTCCAGTCTTCTGACTACTCCAAGTATTCGGTTCACACACTGATGGTAGAGGCTGCTGTGTAAAGAGAGCATCAGAAGTTACTAATCCAATTCATACACATTTATACGCCAGAGACAAAGTGCGGGAGCAATTCAGAGTTAAGTGTGAGCTGTGGATCAAACCCCCGACCTTCTAGTTGATAGACGACCGACTCTACCAACTGAGACACAGCTTTGTTGCGGCCAGCAAGCCCATTTATATTAATGCACCAATATGATACCGCAGAATTCCCTCCTTTAAATCAGTAACTTAAACAGAAAAAACAGAAACATTTTTAATATGAATTTTAAGTAGACTTTCTGTCTTCTTCCCCCTCCCATGACCAGTGAAGAATTCCTTTTATTCCAACAATATGTAGAGAACATCAGTGTATTTGAGTTTTAACATGGGAATATTTTAAGAATAAAAAGGCACCAATTGGGTTCAAAGGATTTCAGTTTCAAAGACATGAAACCCACCACTACTTTACTTTTCAAGGCTCATACATCATGCAACACCATTTCACCCACAAACACAGATTCTCTGTTTGGGTCCAGACCTTTGAATCCACCAACTCCATCAGACTGACTGAGTGTAACCAGATCTGTCCGATTCCGTCTGCCTGATTCTGTCAGACTAACAGATGCTATCTTGGCTTGAAAAGAACCAACAGCACGCACTGCATGCAGATATATCTGTGCATGTGTGTGTGTGTGTGTGTGTGTGTGTGTGCATGTGTGTGTTAGTGAACTAGCGTGAACAAGTGACAGATTCAAACAATCTACTGTTGCAATCCTCAAACAGCCTCCCTCACATCCTGCCCGTTTAACACGCAGTCCCACGGCTTCACAGCTCGGATACTGTCAGTCCACTGGAGTGATACTACACAACTCGAGTGTTACTAAACACAGATGTGTTTTAGTGCTGGGGAGTGTCTTTGTGGAGGGCGAGGGGGTGTTGGAGTTTGTTAATGTGAGCGGCGGTGAAAGTAAAAAAGCCTAAAACCCTCCCCTGAGTCTGACACATGCAGCACAAAAGCTCTGGCTTCATATCTTAAATATGAGCTTGTTCTCACTCTAATCTGGGCTGGAATTAATGTCTTTTTGTTCTGAAGAGCACTCCATGATGAATGAGTGCGTTCCTATGTGAACAAGTAGCCAGGTTAGATCAGGGTTTTTAGAGTATCCCAGTTATGCTGTAGCCATTTAACCAGAAAGGTCAGGTCTTATGCACAAGTGTAATGTAGGTTTTTTATTTCTGGAAGTTAGTTGTGTTGATTGTGTACATAGGTTACGTAACCTTTATAATGAGGTTAATACTAATTTAAACACAAAACATGATACTTTTCTTAAACTATCCACTTAGGTATCTACACAAAGACAAACTATTTGCAACATCGATCCTAAGGTTCTCATTGTTGAAAGTCCAAAATATATTTAATATTGAAAGGTAGCCTATTTATTATCACTAACTTGACTTATTTGAGAGTTTAACTTGAAGTTGCTAATGTATCAATACTAGATTCCTGGCAAAGCTCTGCACCAAGTGGCAACCTCCTGCGAAAAACTGCAGTTCCTCAAGTGTCCACTTGAGGCCGGCACAAAAGCCCCAGAAGTCCCATACACACTCCATATTAAAATATCAACAGATGGAATAAATACGTGTATAGCCTGCAACAAATACTTATTTTATTCTGAATAGCTGAAGTCTATATAGGCACCCAATATAACAGAGTTGAATTTTTTTCAAACTAATCTGTTTTGATTTCATTAAGTGTTATGCATAATTAGAGATGTGACTGATTCCACTGCAAGCAGGTACATTGTCGATTTTCTCTTGGAGGCTTAAATCCCGCCTCAGCTCCACCTCTTTGCTTGTTTCTAGGTTGACAGAAAGTAAGGATGCGATAAATTTTAATGGCGACCGCCATCGTTGGGCTTCAAAAGTCCTCTTCAGTAACCAGAGTGACATCACTGGGACTATGTCCATGTTTTATACAGACTGTAGGAGTTTTATACTTTGTCTAGTTATTTTGCATTTGTTATCATTTTTGTTTTTTGCATGACTTCTCCTTTATTTTTCTCACAATTATTCACACCATTTGTATGACTGTCATTTCCAAACCAGTTAATCATAGATGTTCTCTTTTTTTCATTGTCTTGTTTTAATAATGTTAGAAAGAAAAAAATGACCTACTTCTAGATTTTAGGCCAACTATTCTGCACAAAAGAAGCAGAGCATCCAGCTGTGTTTGTTTTTACAGCACATGAATCAAAAGTACACCCTTCCACCCTCCTCCCTCACTTATCCTGGTTCTCCTCAAACTTCTTTAAATTAAACAGTGATAAAACCGAGATCCTTCTCGTCGGCACTAAATCCATATTATCCAAAGTTGGCAGTTTCTCCCTCACTATTGACAGCTCATCAGTTTCCCTTTACCCTCAGTTTAAGAGTCTGGGTGTCATCCTCGACAGCACACTATCATTCAAATCCCATATCAATAACATTACCCGGTCTGCATACTTCCACTTACGAAACAGCAACCGTCTCCGCGCTGAACCGAACTCTCTACCACCTGACATTCGCAACATTGACTCTCTCCCCATCTTCAAATCCAGACTCAAAACCCATCTGTTCAAGATCTCCTACTCACTCTAACATATTAACTGCAATTACACTGTCCTACATTTCATTTATTTATTGTATGCTGTTTTTTATCCATTGCTGTTTTTAAAATGTTGATTGTTGTACAGTGTCCTTGTGTGTCTTGAAAGGCGCTTATAAATAAAACTTATTATTATTATTAAAAGTCCCTGCAGTTGTGGAATTGCTCCTGTGTAAATTGCAGTTTTCAGTTTTTTCTGCGGTCGATACTGCAGTGCCAGACGACATAAGTGATGCTGCTGTTTGGAGGCTCAGATGCTGTCATCAGTGTCTGACTGCAGAAGGACGCGCCCTGTCTCTGCCCAGGTGACACAGATGGATGCAAACAGTGGAGGCTGCAGCACGTTCACACAGGCTCACACGTTTTACATTTGAGTCCCAGTCAGGACAGGAAACCATTAATACAACCCAAGATTTCTCTCAGACAAACATCAGTTTCATTCTTACAGTAGAACAATTGATTCTGAAAATGGGACATGTGAGACGTTTTTCTTTTCTGTTAAAATGGATGGAGAGCTATTACAATAATGGCGCATTAACGTCAGCGACATGATAAAGTGACTGATGATCTACAGGAACAACAGATGATGAATTGGCGTGCTGAAATAATCTGCCAGTCAGGCTCCCTCTTGCTGTAATAACAGCATCCAGTGTGTTTGAAGCTGAATGGAGGAGACAGATGCCACAGTGTCAAAGAGCCGCACGGAACCTCCTCTGTCCTCATCTCAGTATGTAATAAAAGGAACAAAGGTGGCCTGAGAAGCCCTTAGAAATCCATTAGAAGCATATATTTCTGCTCAGACTGCTTGAAGCACACGTCTACATACACACCTGTGTACGTGCATGTGTGTGTGTGTGTGTGTGTTTTACATCCTCTTAGTCACACAGGCTGCAGTGCTTTACGGTGGCCCAAAGCTTCTGACTCACAGCTCAGTCAGTGTTGGATCTGTGACAGAGGCCTTGAAAACAAACTTAACCACGAAGGAAAGATTGCATACGCGTCTTTCCCAGTGTCCACATGGAGAGAAGAAGTAAATAGATGTGTTGAATCTCAGTATTTTCAAATCATGAACATTTTTTTTATATTTTTGGGGATCAAAATGACAAATTGGTCGGTTTTGAAATCGCTCCAGTTGATTGTTTCTACACATGATGGAAGGAACTAGCAAGGACGGCCGGTATAAATGGGCTAAGCGCCCTCTATATTATACAATACAGATGAGAGAATCATTCTTCAAGAAGTTGCTTTAAATTTTGTTGGACCATTGAGTAGCAACCAAACCCAATAGAAATATGTGATATCTCTATATAGGCACTGCAGCATCCTCTTCCAATCACTTCCATAGTGTAAAATGGAGTCATGGCCCCCTTGGCTTGCTGATAATTTGGGTTTGATTCATTCAGCCCACAGGGCACCGTCTTCTGACCAATGACACAACTGTAGAGTTACAGACTGAAGACCCCAATCAGCATCTATTAACTTCAGAAATAAATCGTTTTTGTGAAGCAGTTGTGATCACACTACATCCACTAGAAATTGTCATTTTAATGCACCTGCAGGCTCAGTTCATTAGGCTAAAGCAGGCCTACTCAAATGGCGACCGTTGATGACATTAGACTGGCCTGCAGATCAGTTCTATTTACAGTTAAAAGAATAAATCAGTAACAAACAGGGGGGGGGGAACTTGTGAATGACTGTCATTGTTGCCACAGTAAAGTGTTAAAAACAGCAGAGCGCTCCCGTTTAATAGAACATCTTTGGTCCTGTGCTGGCAGCCTATCACAAGCTTGTGTTGTTGATGGAAAAAAACAGCTTTGCGCAGTGTACTGCTGTGGTGGGCTTGCTTGTCTGGCCCCTGGTTCCTTAGCTTTCAGTAAACTTGGCCCCCTGAGCAATATAGTTGAATAGCCATGGTCTAAAGGCCCGAAAAAACACTAGAAAGGATCCTTACAGATACCTGTTTTTAACAACAAAAATGTTTTTTATTTTAACAAGAACCAGCTGTTGCATTGCTCTTTTCAAAAGGTAACAGTTTCCATTGACAAAATTAGACATTTTACCCTGCAGACACAGAAGTTGCTTGTTTACCGCTGCTTCAACAAGCTAGTTTATGTGACCTGTTTATCATGCAAGTTATACGCTGGGTCAATCTACTAATGTACAATGTAAATGTGGAACTAAATAGCTTAAAACAAACTAAGACCTGGCAGTAGACTAGAAACAACTCCTCTACTCTTCATGGTCAAAAGACTGTATTTGTGGATGGAGTCTGGACGCTTTAAATCGAGCAATGTGACTTTTATTAGTTAAAGAAACATCTTACTCTTCAGTATAAAGTTCCCTTTATGTCCTTCATTTTGGCAAACACTTAAAAACCACAATCAGATCAGGAGTATTAGATACTTAGGATTATCTTGCAGCTATTACAGCTTTTTGTATAGGCTCTAAATGAAGCAATTTCAGAGCCATTGGTACTTTTCCTCATTTAAATATGTAACTTAGGCTCAGATTCAAAAGTACCAGAAGTCCTGCAAAGGTGTGACAAGTTACAATGGCTTAAGGTTAAAATGTATACTTCAAGAGTCAACATGGTGGAGCTGCATGCTTACCTGTGGTGCACTATGTACGTGATGATGGAGGCGAAGAGGCAGAGCAACATGACCGCCGTGCAGGCATACACGACCGGGTGCAAAAACTCCCCAGGGTACGGGGGGAAAGACAGCACCTTCTTCAGATCCTGAGGAGGCAGAGACAGAGAGAGAGAGAGAGAGACGCACATCAGATGTCATAAATACAGTATCAAACAAATAATCAGAGAGCAAGAGCCGGGCCAAGCACTGTGACAGCCTTTCAAAAAGATCCACCCAAGGACGAGGATGAGGAGCTCTCCATATGCATAGGCACCAGTACACTGCACTGACGAGATATGCAAACAACATACAAATGAATGTCAAGGAAAAATGTCTTGGAGTGAGAAGGCCGCTCGAATCAGCATAAAAGAGTAACAGCCCTGTCGAGAGAATATTATTCCCTCCGCATTTACATTTTTGCATTTCAGGCTTTTAGCTGACACTCTTAGCCGGAGCGACTGACTGCAACAATAGCATAAGCTTCCTCGTCTGCCGACATAAAAGCAAAACAAAAATGGATGGCAGCCAGGCATGAAAATGAAAAAAGTTAAGTCCCTTTTTGTGCCTCCAAAAGACGCTCATTGTTAACAGACGCTCATTAAGCCCTTATCAACATCACAGTCGATTTGCTTGGTAATTTATTCTACAAGAGGAACTTCTCCAGCTCATATTGTGACAGCGTCAGATTAAAACTCTCAAAGTACAACACGGCTGCTTAATACTTCGATTTATTGTGCTATCTGTGCGCTTTAGATCTGCTGCGTGGAGAGACAAAAAAACGAGCTGTTAAAAAAATCAGAATGCTCTATTCACTCGCACTTGCGGCTCTCTGAGTGGAGCTGAGATTGACGTCACCGTTTAGGCTCTGTGACGTTGCTAAATAAAGCGCACCTTATCTCCATAGTGCCCCCCCCCCCCAAAGCTCACTGTGAGTTTCGTCTGCGAGAGTGATCCACATACACGCTGTCTGACTCCATCATCGTCTCCCTGAGTAGCCAATATGCGATATTCTCTGTGAGTGTGTGTATCCAGAGGGTGTCTGTGAGGGGTCGTGACCTTCAGCTGGGCACTTATAAGCATATAGCTGTAAAGTATGGGCTAGAGATAGTGGGGGGGGGGGGAGGGGGGTGGTGGGAGGTTTGCGGGACGTGACACTGGGGAGATGTAGAGCACACCAGTCCAACCCTCATCACCGAGGCTAATGAAGCTTTCCCTGTGTGGTTGTGGAGGAGTCGGAGTCAGGATTTTCTATTCAGGTCAGACAGAGACATTTTCTTAATGTAACCTTTAAAGGTGCAAATGTTCTGTGGCTTTTTTTTTTTTTTTGGAGTTGTTAAATGTCATCATTGTAATGTTATCGTGCCACTCTCAGGAGATCACTGGCTCAGTCTTTGGACTGTTGAGTCTCGAGATGTATCCTTAAACTTTGCATTTATATCACTTAAAGAGCCAACACAGAAATGTCACTTCTGTTGCAATTAATCATCCATTCATTATTAATGCACTCTACCACTTTACAAGGTCACTGCTGTCAGAAGCCCTTTTTTTTATTTTGTGTTTAACTTATTGGTAAGAGACCGTGTTAACCATAAACAGGCCCACACTCCAACACAACAGACATTTAAATACTGCAGACATAGAAAAATGTATCATAGAAACACAATCTCATTCCTCACGCTTTGAATTCAGACGCTTTAAACCAAAAGGATGTGCAGAGCTTCTTCAATCAATAATGCAATAATGCAGACTATGCAAAGTCCAGTTAGACTGAATGTATTTAAAAAATAATGCTTGCTAAAATACTTTGTACATGTAATTTTATTTTGGACTTGTAACAAAAACAACACCTGGAAATCATTAGGAAACAGTCACAGCTTCATTTTCTGCTTTAGGCATCAACACTACTTGGTTATTTATGCAAAACAGAATCATTTGAATTCGTTTGAATTGAAGTAAGTACTGCAGGACTAATGTAGGTACAGTAAAAAGTTCTTCAAGAGGTAGAATAAAAGTTCTTATTTAAATAAGGGACGTATATGATAATGGTATGGTAATGGCTATGAGCGTTTTTACACTGCACACCTACACATTCACACACTGATGGTAGAGGCTGCTGAGTAAAGTAACCATCAGAAGTAATAAATCCATTAATACACATTCATAACTCTGATGAAGCAGCAGGTGCAAATCAGGGTTAAGTGTCTTGCCCAAGGACACATCGGACATGTTGCAGCATGAGCTGGGGATCAAACCCCTGACCTTATGGTTGAGAGACGACCGACTCTACCAACTGAGACAACATTACCAACATCAGCTTTGTAGCTTTAAAGACAATGTGGATCACAGGAATTCAGACACTGTCTTCTGGATGAAAACTTGTATATGTTGATGCATCCGGCTCTGCACATTTTCACTCTCCATGTGCTGTCCCCTTACTTCAGTTCAAAATCAAAACTATCAGCTAAAGGACTGAAATGACTCTAGAGGGGGCGCTGGAGGGTTATATTTCTGTTCCTGAGCCACTGACCGAGCCAACTACAGTTTTTTTTCCTCCTTCGGAAAATCCTCGGCCCACTCCATCACAAAATCTGCCGCCGTTGTCATTTTAAACTGCAAATGTGCTATTCACAGACACTAGAAGGAATTGTTTCCTCAAATAGAGGACCTGAGAATGGCACAAACAAGACCCCAGAGGCATCTCAGCCGGGTCGTGAAACTTTGCACTGTGGAATCATTACTGTCAGAATTCAGAGGAAACTGACATTTATCCTGGAAAAAAAACTCTACACCTCAACCTGACTGTAAATCTACAGAACTGTTTTTACTGTCTCACCGCTGGACGTGTGAGCAAAGTGTACCAGCACATCAAGCAGTCACACAGACACATAAGCACTGATTTGGAGTCCACCTGAAGAGGTGGGTTCAATAGGCCTCTTTCACCAATTTTTAAAGAATTTTCCTACGATTTTTTAAAAGTTTTTCTGAAGAAGATAAGCTGTGTTCTTATCTCATCGTGTTTGTAAGTTGAAGGTGTGCCATGAAAGGGCTTCAGTGAAGGTCCCTGCAGACACACAGAATCACATGCTGGTAGCAAAAAAAATAGTGTTGTGGAGATGCCTAATGGATCGCCAAAGATGGCGCCAGCAGAGCACAACTTCTAGTGGAGAAAGTGGAGGTACTACTCCAGGGAGTCAGCTGTGTGAGCAGTGGTTACAAAGGGATGCAATAAAAATAATTCATGCTTGTGTAAGGTTGTTATTTACTTTAAAAGACCACAGGGCATCGGTGGGGCAGTGGTTAGTGTACACGCACCCAATGTACGGCGGCCCGGGCTCCTTTCCCGCACGTTATTCCCCACTCTTTCTCTCCTTGATTTCCAACTCTATCCACGGTCCTATCTCTCCAATAAAGGAAAAAAAACAGCCTTCCCTCAAATGTGCGTTACAGTGCTCTTGAGTGTTCCTAAATTCTGTTCGTACCAAACAACCAATCCCACATAAGAAAACATTGGTGAATCTCAGAATCTTCTTCAAAAAGTTCTTAAGTAGGATGTAAGAAATAATTTGTTCTTAAGGACATTTGGTGAATGTGGCCCAATATTTGTTTAACTGTCAAACTATTCCAGGAAGTCTCTGCCTCTTTAGCTGCCATTTTACCCATCTTTGTCTATATGTTGCTCAGAGATAACAGGAAGTGTGCAGTAGTTTTATCGGAGCTTCTGCCTGCAGGGGGAAAAAAAAGGTTGGTGAAAGTGGTGAGACTAAATCCAATCATGAAAATTGGGGGCTGCAACCCCAATTACTAAGAAAGACACTAAAACCATAACCAAGGAGCTGAGCTTCAAAGTTCCACATGCAATCGTTTGATCCATTGCTAATATAAAAATATGAATTAGAGATGCTTTCAAACCAAATGATTCTTTAAGTTTGAAAAAAGGGGTGGAAGTAAAAGTCTGCAGGGCTATTGATCATCAAAAACACCGACGTTTAGGACTTTGCAGGTTGTAGTTTGGCCAGAAAGTCAGAAAGGCAGGAGAGGGATGGGGGACGAGCTGGAGAAGGGACTGCAATTTGAGCTGAGCAATGAAATGTACCATCACTGCTGCACACAGAGCGAGAGAAGAAGTAAAAAAAATGTCAGAGAGAAAGAAAGAGCAAGCGAACAGTGAGAGGGCGTCCCATTGGTGACAAAAAACATCCCGACGTTCTAAAAACAGCCTCACATCATTTTACAAGTTACAGAGTTAGACAGAATTACTACATTCCTACTTACCCTGGGAGACATGTCATGCAAGGACAATGGGAACTAGTGTTAATTACAGCTCAGTGAATTGATGTTGCTGAAAAAAAATCATTGCCCTAAGCATCCCAAAGAAATCCTGCTGAAATGAAGCTTTTAAGTCAGTAAGCTGATTTATATACTTAAAGAGCAAATAACACTTCATAGGAGTTGAGATCATGAAAAAATATCCCCACACAAACATCAGCTTAACCAAAGGTCAAAGAGAAAATGTGTCGGAGGGAATCAGTAACAGCATCAGTAAAAAGTGAGGCGTGCTCCGACATATTGAGCAGCTCAGTGTGATGCTAACGCGGCGCGTGATGGCAGCTCTGGTTAAATGGCTTTAAGTGTGAAGGAGGGGGGTAGAGGGGGAGTCAAATGTTCTCATGGGACATATTATCATCATCACTGGGTTTATAATGTTGGCGGAGAGTGTCAGCCACTCGCCTCCGGAGTCTTTAACCATTTCTTAGCACCTTCAGCTGTGAGCTTAGCCGCTTTGCTCCAAAATCCACCGACCTCATGCATGCTTGACGTGTTTACTCAACAACACCGTGCATGTAGCCCCGACGCCTCGTTACTGAGATGTAGCAGGCCGAGCTCTAGAAGAAATCGTGCACAGAAGGCTGACGTCAACAAAGTTACAACTTTGAATCATCATAGTTTGCAGCTTTTAGAAACTGCATTTTTTTTTATTTCACAGCTTGTTTTTTTTTTTACCATCGTTAAACTTCTTCACCTTCCAGCACTGCTTTCACAGACAGTCGAGTCCATTAACAACACAGCCAAGAATTCAATAACGTATACAGAATTTACTGTATCTCAA